TTACATACAACTTTTTATCTTTTTTTTAATACATAACAAGGGAATTTATGAGAAGGGTCCTTTTGGAAAGAAGATGATGGCAGTTGCCATAAATAAGCTAATGGTTAAGAAGCTGATAACTCCAACGCTAAAAAATCAATCTAAAAAATTTAAAAATAAAAAATTATATCCTAAACATTAACAAATTATGATGAAATATTGGACAAAAAAATTTCAAAGAAAATCAGCAACAAAATAAATGACAGCAATGCTCTCATTCCTAATTCAACCATCTGCATAATAAATTGAAGATAACTAGCTATTATTCCAGTAGAATCTTATTTCATAGTATCCTTGAAATATATAGGTTTTGTTGCTCAAAAAGATAAATTCTTAGATGTCCTCAATGCAAATAAAAAGAAAAATATTGCTTGGATAGTACGATCGAGGATATTATATCATATGCTATGGTATGAAAATTGAAATATCCAGATTGCATATTGTTAGAAATAGACAGTGGTTAGAACAAGCATTGCCATTGTCTGAAAAGATCTGCCACTTGATTATAAGCTTCTAACATAGATTATAACTTATTATCAGTCAATAAACTCGAGACAGAAATTGTGTAATAAATTTCTTAGATATCTTTGTCAGTCTTCACACTTATGACCTAAACTCAAGGAAGATAATTGTTAGTATAAAGATGTATTTAAAAATTCTACCTACTAAAAAAAGATGCCACAAGTAGGGTACATGCTCAAACAATAAATTTTTATTCGTTAAAAGTCCCACTTCAAACTTCAAATAAACTTCAACTAATGATGGACATATTTGGCTTAGGCATTATCAGCTCAGATGCATAAACTTTACTTGCCTTGAAAAATTAAATCATTCTCTATCACCCAAAAAAAAAAAATGTAGAGGATTTTCATTGTCAAATTCACTGCATGGTAAAACAACCTCATAATTTTTATCCCAATCAAACTTACAAACATTCCCAAACTTTTGGTTTTAGTCCATACTAATGTATGGGAAGCCATTAAGAGTTAAAAATGTCTTTGAAGCTAGATAGTTTGATTCTTTCATTAACAATCCTAACCATATTTGACTTTCTTAATGAAAGAAAAAAATTCAAATTGGGATAAATTTTAAGCATTTCAAAACATGATTAACATTCAATTTTAGTCTAAAATCCAAGTCACAAAAATTGACAAATACTTCGTTGTTGTCTCAGAAAATTATCTCCTTATTCAAGATATTATCCACCAAAGCTTGTGTCAAAGCCTTTCAATAAAATGGAATGATTAAGACATATTAAGTAAAAAAACATATGTATATATCTTAGAAGCGAGTAGATCACTAATGTTCTCCACAAATGTTCATAATTATCTATGCGGGAATAGAATATCCTCCATGCAAAATTTTGAAACACTTTTATGATCCCTTACCTATTAATTTCCCAATATCAAAATAACTTCTTATTTTCCATAAAAAATATTTAAATGTTTAATCTATATTTACATTCATTCTCAACAGTAGAGCAAAATTAGGTACTAACGAACATCATTATTGGATATTCCCAAATTAAAAAGGTACAAATAAAATTCCTCGATCACTAAAAATTTTATAATTCTATGGATATAACTTTCTCGAACAATAACCTTAATTCTCCAAACCTAAAATTAAGCGGGAGGAAATTCAAGAAAAAGAAATTCAAGGTTATAACGTATATTGATCATACATCATGTTCTCTCATAAAACCCATTGGAAATGAGCATTCTTTTTTTCTTGTCATTCAATCTACTGTAGCCTCATCAAAGTCACAAACAACCTTATCACCCTATGGGTGCATTTAACTTACTAAATTCTCATCAGCAATGCAAACTCTCTAATCATTTTGTTAATGAACTCAACCTATGCAGATTAAGATTCATGTCTATACTAGGAGCCCAAAAGGGAAGGGCGGTGATCACTGCAATACCGAAGTTTAACCAAACCACAATGAGAAAACAATATTATTGTTGAATTTAAATAGGAAAGTATAACCAAATAAACAGGGATAGAAAATTACAATAAAAACGACACACAACACGCGACTAGGATGAATCTGGGGTGATGGCGGTATCTGTTAGGGACGTGAAAGGGCTGATTGGTGTGACGAAAGCAAGGGGATCTTGGTAGCAGCTAGAGGAAGTGCGAAACTGCAGGGAACAACAAGTGTGGTTGTTGTCCTGGGCAGTGGCAGCAAGGAGCTGGGGTAGAAGTGGCAGGAACAGCACGGGTTTGTTTTCCTGAGGTGCTGGAATGGGGGAAGATAGCAGCAGGGTGATTTTCTGGTGGCGGTGGCAAGTAAGGAAGAGGAAAAGGCAGCTGTACAGGTTGAACACCGCAGCAAAACAATAACTTTGTGCAGTTCTGGGCAGTGGCAGCAAAGGAAAGAGGCAGTGAGTGATGTGAGAAGGATGTGGAGGGGATTGAGGAAGGATAATCACCATCTCAAAAGCGAGATGTATCAATGAGAAATCATTGATGGCAAGTGAGAGGTTCAGCTTCATAGTCATTTGTATGCTTCAAGATATTATTATAATCCATGATTTAAAAATGTTGAGAATTCAACTAAGTCTGAGATTAAATTAAATTTGCATCATTTTATGAATATGTTGATACTTGATTCAACTTAGTGTGGGAAGGAAAATATGCAACTTAACCTCTTGAAAAATAAGGAAGGATTTTGTGGACTGCAACAAGCTAAAAATAGAGTAGTAAAACATTCTCTAAGTAATTTTTAACATTTAATGAATATAATAAAGAAACAAACTTCCTATTTTAATTATATATATTTTAAAATTTAGTAGAATGTTGAATTCAAATTAGTGATACCACTCCAAAGCTACAACAATTATTGTTTTAAGTATTGGGACTAAAATATTTGTCATCCGTTTATGAGCAAGTACATACAATCAAATTCATACTAAATAAAAAAAGAGAGAAATAATTTGACTGCATTAAGGATGAACTTGCCGGTTTATATTATATATAACAAGAGAATAAATTAAATCAAAAGATTTTAAAGGATGATGAAAATCTCTTACTTTGTAACGGCATGCTATCATATGATAAATAGTATATGGATGACAATAACAAAGCAACAACATTTGATTTGTAAAAAGAGAACCTCAATGTTAACTTCTTTGATGCGATAGAAGCACAGCCACCACAAGTCAACTAAAAATAAATAAATAAATAAGATAAACACAAAAATTTATGTGATTGAAAATTTAATTATCAACATAGTTGTTCTTTTATAAATTAACCACCATTTTTTATTTATTGCTAGAGATTAGGAATGATAAAGATGAAAAGGAATGAGAGAATATGGATAGAACTGAGGATGAGGGAAAAAAGAAAGCAATTTGTTATACAAATTAAAGATTCAAATGAAGATCCATTGTGTTGAGAGTGATGGGAGTTTTTAAATTTAGAAGTTTCAATGTTGATAATATGTTATTTTTTTACTTAGTGGAGGACAGTATGATTGGTATTAAGAGACTTGCAATAAACATTTGAATTTATTTTAGTTATATATTTAAATTTTGATATTGTACTTGATATCTTAGCTTACTTTGATAATTTGACATCTATATAAATCTCCTTACTTCATGATTTGATGTTAGGATATTAGCATGTTACTTTTTTTAATGCTATTTATTACTTCTTACTTTTTTAAGATGGTTATATTTTAATAAACATATTAATATGGGAGGATGTTAATATAGTATATTCCTCACTTCACACTTCAAAATGTATACAATATTTTTTTCTTTGTATAATTTTTTACAGTGAGGCGGGTGAGGTGTAAGATTTACGCCTCACCCCCACAATGAAAAATGCCTTAATAACCGATAGCACAATTTTTAACATTGATATGTCAATTTTACTTCCAAATTAAATATTTTCAATGGAGAAAAAGGATTCATGTAGCCAACCCCACTTAGTGGGATAAAGGTTTTGTTGTTGTTCTTGTTGTTGTTGCATTATAGGATGCATATTCCAAGCTTGGTGTTCATGCCCAAAATACCTAAGTTTAATTTTCATCATCTTATTTTCAGTTAGCACTAATCCTATATCTTTATTGTAATACTTTCTCACTCAATTCTCTCAAGTTTTATAATGCAAGCATGTTCTTGATATTCACTTAATGAGACTAAGTGAAACTTTTTATATCTATCAATATGTTTCAAGATATATATTCTTTGATTGCAGAGTGTTCTTGACGCACTTAATTTCTTAACCATCTATCTTTACTCTAAATTTTATAATCCCTTATTACAACACACCAATACATCTCTTTTTTTAATGTATGATTGGTACCAACATATTTTCGAAATCATTTTTTTCTTATGCATTTAGCTAATTTCTCTATTATATTTTCACAACTCACCAAATCTCAACATAGATCTCTGATGGACCTAAAGTTTAACCATTATGTATTATCATGAACATGAATTCCAACTTCTTTTAAATTAATCAATCTATAATATACTTCATGGTTTTTTTTTTTCTTTATAATTATTCCTTAAAAGTCTCGTTTAACAATTTCTCAATATATAATTTTCAAATTTATTTAATTTATTTATCTTTAATCAAGGTTACATTATTTTTACTCTTAACGCACCTAATTTGAACAGAGTTTTTAGACCTTCTTGTCAATTATTTTATGATATCAGTTCCTTAATAGCTAAATTGCAGTACAAATCAACATAGTCTCACATGAACTTTCAGTTCTGAAAAGAAAGTTGATAATAACAAAGTGAATGTCTTTGAGCATGAAATGGCTAAGCAAGTATTCCACAAAACTTTAACGTTCTGAATGTAAGTTTTAACAGCTGAATTGATGAGCCATCCACTGTGCAAGTAATTTTCGATAGATCCATATCCAGGTTTAACACCGAATTTGACTGTACTCAAAGGTAACTTTAGGGGTAGAAATTAACACAGCAAAGTGATATGCATTCAGATACCTGAAAACAATCATCCTTAAAAATACAACAGCATCAAGACCAACGGATGCCAATATCTCATCTTCGGTCGGTCCCCATGCCTCGAGTATCCAAGCCGGAGTAGGCAAAATTCTGCCAATTTTGAAGGAATCATTGCTCTTCTTCCGCTCCTGCGTCAGAGTACTCCGCCCAAAATAAACATATAAATTTGAAGGCTGCTTCCTGACCACCGAATATAGCGAGATAAAAAACACGCAGAGGCCGATGTTTATGCCAGCGGAGGTCAGTAGAGCGTCAAGTTTCATCTCAATCTACCGCAGAGAACCTCATGTGCTTAACACCAAAGCAGCCTCAAATGGGGCGGTCGATTTCTACTTAGGGTTAGGGCAAAGTCCGAGATGGAAAGTATGCGGGCATTTAGTCAAACACTCAGAGGGCTTGCGCTGATAGGAACGCTGGAACAACGGAGGAAACCCTAGATAGAGGAAGGCGTTCCTGGCTGTGGCCTTTGGAAGAATGAGGGCCGGAATGCCAACGGATTGACAAGCGCGCCAGTTGGGGTCTTGCGGGGAAGCTGTAGGCCCCACAATTTCATTTTGGCACGCGCGCCTTTCGCCTATTGGACCGGTAGGTCCCTCTAACCGTTTTTGGGTCGCTGTTTGAAATCGACGGCTGAGGTTGTCCCCGTAAAGCAATTACAGTTAACTGCTTTGAGCGAAATGGCTTGCATGCTCCCCGGCCCACTCATCAGCGGGAAAAATTATTGTGCAGGATGTCTGGCGCTCTCCGATCACAACTGCACATAAATTCAAGTCTCTACCATAGTGTGTATCACTTTTATTATTTTTTTTTTTAATGAATGATGGATGACTGTGATCAGAGAGAGCAAGCAGTGTGCGCTTTACGTGCGCTCTCCGTAAGCAATAAGCGCTCTGGCAACGGGATTTCAATCTAATTTTAAGTAAATTTTGAGAAATATTAAATCAATATTAATGCGTCCTAGAAATTTCGCGGTGATAGAGTAATAGATTATAGTCTTAGTGCACACTCAGATGAAAATGAATCAAGCTGTGATAACACCATAAGTTTTTACGTGAAAAACTCGTAAAGGGGAAAAATCATTGGGTCTGGCCAAGTTGCCTAATTATAAAAATCCACTGTAAGTTGATGATTACAGAGACCCCTTGTCTCACAGATGGGAAAGGGTTACTAGATTTTCCAAAGTACAATGTCGACTGACGACGTCTAGTCAGCAGTGGTTGACGGAGGTCGACGGTGATCGACGGTATCAAACTTTCAATATAACTTACTAAAATATTACTCGAATTATAAGTCAGGTGAGCGGTGGTTGTCGACGGTTAGTGGTGGTCGATGGCGATCGACGATAACGAGGATGATATTGGACATGAGATCTTTCTCAAAGCTTCTAGTTCTCTCTCCAGTCTCCCCCCTTTCATGTGAGGGGTGAGGCTCTATTTATAGTGTTTTGAGTGCAATTAATGCTGAAATATGAACCATTTTGATCGGACGGTCCGAGAGCTTCCCTTGATCGGATGACGTTTGATGGACGTTTGAGTGCCTTAAAGATGTCAGAATTGAGCAATCTTAGGCCCGTTGGATTCGTCTTGTCGAGACGCTCAATTCAACTATAAACTTGCTAGATTCAACATCCGTTTGACCTTTCAGATGCCTTCAGAAATCCTCCAAGTGTGGTTAATGATTTGATTCAGGCTTGATTTGACTCGGATTGGACTGACTTTTATATCATTAGGTCCATCTCATCGAGCTGATCAGTCTTTTATATCATTAGGTCCATCTCATCGAGCTGATCAGTTTGACTATAAGTTTGTTGAAATCGGAGCTCTGGATGATTTTTTATCAAGATTTGAATGTTCCTTGCTTAAAATATAATGTTGCCTCGAGATCTGTGCATGCCTCAAGATTCGTGCTAAATGATGAGCATTTGTTAGTGGCGTATCAGTTGCCCCCCTATTTTTGGGTGAGATCAATTTCACCGTCCAAAAATATCAAGATGCATAGTGTCACGTTGGCATTTTTTATTACAGGTTTTGTGATAAATAATTACAGGTTTAGTAATAAATGCTCCTAAAAGCATTATTCTGCTTTCATAATCCGATTATGTGATGAAGTATAATATTGCCTTTGCACGGGAACTCGGAACGCCAAACGAACCCACGGGAGATGCAAATAGCAGGAAGCGGAAGCCGCATGGCTCGGCCGGGAAGCCAAGGGTCCGGCTGTAGGTAATTATTTTAATTTTAGCAGTAAAGAAATATATATAGATATATTGCTTTGCCAGCTTGTGCTAATCTTTTAATTTGGTTTGATAATCCTTTTAATACACGCATAAGTAATATTACCTTTTAGCATAATGGATTATGGGAATGTCAAACGACGGAAACGGAAGAAGCAAAAGCGGAATCGGCGAAAAGTGCTTGAGCCGAACTGCGGGAAGCGCAAATCGGATGGAAAGCTCGAAAAAGTTTTTTTTATATATATTTTTTTATTTTTTTTATTAATGAGCATTTAATGGCCCCATCTATTTTTTAGTCTATAAATAGGGCTAAAGGAGAGGGAGTAGAGTTATCGCGGTGTATCATGACGACGCATCACCGCGGCACGACGCAGCGGCGTGATGTGTCGCGGCGATGTGTTGTGGTGGTGTGTCGCGGCGACACGTTGAGCGTCACGATGAAGCGATGAGGCGGTGTGCCACGAGGTAAGTGGATCTGTTGTGGCGGTGCGTCGCGGCGGGGTGTCGTAGCGACGCGTAGCGACGCGAGGCGTTACGACGTGTGCCGCGGCGAAGCGTTGCAGCGGTGCGCCGCAGTGAAGCGTTGCAAAGGAACGTTGTGACCAGGTGTCGCAGCGGGGCAATGTTGCGTTGCAGTGGTGTGTGGCGGCAAGGCGTCGGCGCGAGGCGATGCATTGGGGCAGTGCGTCGCAGCGAGGCATCGCGGTGACGCGTTGCGGCGAAGCGTCGGGACAGGGCGTTGCGACAAAGCGTCGGGACAGGGCGTTGCGGCGAAGTGTTGCGATGAAACGTTGCGGCTAAATATTATGGTGAAGTGTTGCGGCAAAGAGTTGCGGAACGTTGCGGTGAAGAGTTGTGGAACGTTGCGATGAAGAGTTGCGGTAAAATGTTGCGGTGACATGTTGGAGAATTGTTGCGGCGAAACATTGAGGCGGAGCGTCAGGCAGGGTATCGCGGCGAAGCTTTGCAGCGGGGTAGCCTTCTGAGGTCTTTGAGTGGAGACCTTGTCAACCACTTGCTCTCATGAAGTCTTTCTAGTGAGGACTTCGTCCACAACTAGCTTCACATCGAGACTTGCTTCTTGGGCTCGTCTTCCAGGGGTATGGTAGCTTCTCATTGAGGCTTGCCCCTTGGGCTTGATTATGTAGGAGTACCATATCTTCCCGTCGAGTCTTGCCTCTTGGACTCGACTTTTAGGGGTATGGTAGCTTCACATCCTCAAGGATGACTCATTGAATTGACATCCCCTAACCTAATACGTTGTCACGTCATATGCGGAACAACACGGGAAAACAAATAGCCTCTGAAGACGTGGAATAAACGGTAAATACAAGGGACGCTTCTAAGAAACTTATTTCTAACTCTTTTTTTATTATTATTTTGAGGGTTAAATCTCGGAGAAGTGCATAATGTGCAATGAGTCTCTAGTGCACTGGACTTATAAAATAACATGCAACCATTCACGTAATAATCAATCTTCTTTGTTTTCAACCCTCACTTGAAGACCAACTTTTTCTTCCAGTATAAGCCTTCTAGAACTATTTTTTTTTATGGATTAGCCTTTTTCAGCAATGTTGCAAACTGATTGAAGCATTCTTAAGATATATTAAACTCTATTTTAATTTTTACCATTCTAAGGGTTACAGATAATGCAGAATGAGAAGTGCATCCCACCCACAGTGGCCTTGGTGCAGCATTCAATAGATCATAAAAAAGTTCAACCTTCTGATTTGATGTCTCTTCTTGCACTTATCTCATGTAATGCAGCGTTGTTCTATCAAAGAGCATCTCTTCAAATCTACTTGAGTGAAATCTAGGTGGATGATAATAACTCGTCGAAGGAACTAAGCTGAATATTCAAGATCAACCTCCTCATGCTAAGTCCAAATCAAGTCATTAGGCTGAAAACCCCAATAAATTAAATCATATCTTACTTGGTCAGATGTTAAGTGTGCTCAATTCCTGTGTTTTGAGCATGGACATCGAAATATACAATGAGATAGGTAAGATGGAAGTTGTGATGATGCAACCACGAAGGCCTCTACACCATTTAAGGCCTACTGGTGATCCATTTTCTATTTGGATAAACTCTATTATACATCCATAATCATGATGTATGAATATTCATATTTACCTAGAAATCAATCAACACATTATAATGTGCATTCAAATGAGTACATAAAATATAATTTTAGAAGTTGACATAATCTCAGAGTTATAGCAATGGGTGATTGATAATATGCCTTATATTTTTTAAAATTTTTAGATCTAATATTGTCTGTTACAATAGCTACGCCAAAGCTTCACGAGTTTATTTCTTTCACATTTTATTTTCTTGATTTAAAATATTTCATTGTAAATTATTTAAATTTAAAGTAAGGTGGAAAGTCAATTATTGATTTAAGCATTCTTGTCTATGTGAACCCCATACGTGATTAATTGCACACCTCGAAATATATTCTTAAATGAAAATATTTCACATGATATAAGAGTTTTCGTTGCATCTTCCAATACTAAAATATATTTTTCATTCCCAAAATAAAAATTCACTTTAAAATCTAAGTTGTTAATTCCAAAATGAAAATTCACTTTAAAATATAAGCTACATTTGCCAAAATGGGAGCTGCGTCAAAGAAAATAAATCTAAATTCAATATTATTATGGTGTGGTTAACCATTTACATATGGATGAGTTTTTCCTCAAAGTTATTTACTAAGAAGAGAGACTAAATAAGAAGGCTCCATTAAATTAGTTATCAATGCTATGGTGGGCTTGCAGGTATGACCAATAACTTATTGGCAAATTTACCAAGCTTGTGAAAGAGATTGATGTGTGCTAGAAAATTCATGGTGGTAGAGAAACGGATTATCATCATAGCGCGGTACGAGAATTCAACACATACACAAAGGAAAGAGAAACAAGCAGCGACGACTCCCGAAATTTTTACGTGGAAAACCTGTAAGGGGAAAAACCACGGTTTGTCCCAGTTGCGAAAATCTACTATTGATTGATAATTACAGAAATCCCTTGTCCCTCAGACAGGAAAGGGTAACTATATTTTTCAAATTACAAATCGACTGACGGCGTCTGGTCGGTGTGATTGATGGTGGTGGACGACAGTTGGTGGAGGTCAACGGAGGTTGGTAGTGGCAACAACGGTCGCTGGTGGTTGACGATGGTACGCGGTGTCTAATGGAGGTTGGCGGTGGCCAACAGTGGTCGGTTGTGGTCGATGACGGCCAGCGGTGATGCTGAGTTGCAACTCCTCCTCAAAGCCTCAAGCTCTCTCTAGGCTTAAGTTTCTTTCTCATGAGAGGAATGAGACTACTTATAATGTTCTGGGTGCAATTAATGCGGGAATATGAATCATTTTTTATCTGATGGT